TGGTGATGGGCTGGAGCCATTCCACATCGGATAATCTTTGAATATGTGTGTGTTATTTAAAGACCTATGACATTTTTATTTTTTAAGTAGAAATGTTGTAGCGTTCTCTGGTAAAAAAAAAATCGTACCAATTTTAATATATAGGCCATAATCATGGGTTTTTGTGGGTCCCATTGAAACTAGTTGTACCTATTGACAATAATTGAATGATTAAACTTGATAGATATTGACAAAAATTAACGGGTAACACAGATGGAGATCAACTATGATGTAGTAATATCTTATATAGTTTAGTACCCACTTACTTATCAGATCCCAACTGGATGGCACCATATCATGGAGAAAATTAAAAACAATTGACAACCATCAATTCACCCACTCATTTGTAAATTAGTAGATTGAGTAACTTATTTATTCTTAAATATTTGAAGGTATTATCAATCAAAGTAGGGTTAATTGCACTAGAGGTCCTCAAACTATGGACTTTGTATTATTTTAGTCTCTAATGTTTTAATTGTATCATTTTGGTCCTTGAAGTATTGAATATACTTTTATATGGTCCCTTAAGTAGACAATATCCAGATTATTAATAATTTTTTATTACAAACTTGTCACTTGATACTTAAATATGAATAAAAAAATAATTTTGATAACTCTTGACCAAATTTTTACTCAAATTTGGTTAAATACCTACTTAAATTACATAATTTTGATCATGAGCTATCCAAATTTTGGTCAAAAGCTACACATATTACACATTTTTTGTCAAGAGCTAGTCAAATTTTGTTTAAGAGTTATCAAAATTATTTTTTGTCCATATTTAACTATTACGTGGCAAGTTTATGATAAAAAATCGTTAGCAATCTGGACGTTGTTTGCTTGAAGGACCATATAGAAACATATTCAATACTTCATGGACCAAAATGATGCAATTGAAACATTGGGACCAAAATGAGACAAACCTCATACTTTGAAAACCTCTAATACAATTAATCCATCAAAGTCATTAAGATCGAGCAAAAAAAAAAAAAAGAAAAACCAAAGTAATTAATCAAATTAAAACAGGTTAAAGCTCGTCTGATTAAACTTACTGTTAATCGTGGACCACCACACCAACCACCTTTTTTTCACTCAATCCATTATTACCTATTTATTAAGCCGGTGGAAAAGGAGTGAAAATTGAATAAAAATCAACTCCTTATTGATATGTCCACAACAACCCTAATTCACCCATTGCCACCAGTACTCATAGGTGTCTCTAGAGAAGATGACATCTATTCAAACTGTTTAGAGCCAACGTTGAAAAGAACAACTAAACCAAAAGAAAGGCCAGAGATTAACAGAGTGCCAATGGATGGGGAAGAATTCGAGTCCTATTGCAAAACAAGAATGATATTTTGTGATGCATTGCGGGGCGGGGAAGACCCACCCACTACAAGAAATTTCTAAAATGTCGGCGAAAGTCTAAAAAATGCTAGTAAACAAGAACACAGGTGTTAAATCTCATGGCGTTTAAGAAAACGCCATAAAATATATACCGACGATTTTGCTGACAGAAAATAAACGCCAGCTTTGTTGGCTGGAAAAATTTTCGGCATTTACTTAAACGTTGGAAATTTTATTTTTTTAAAAAAATTATTATTAATACACGTACCCTGATATAATATTTTAGAGGAAAAAAAAAAGTCATACTAGATTCAAGAAGCAAGCTGAACTTGATGAAGTGGAAGTAATACATACATACTCAGATCTAATGTTTGAAAAGATACACATAAGTATCTTGCACCTTAGCTGCGATCTCTGTCACAGCAGATTTTGCCTCTCATCCTGCTTTTCATCGCAAGCATTTATGGAATCTTGTTTCCTCCTTCAGCGCCATAATTGATATGCTCTTTCTCTGTTGGTAAACTCATCCGTCAGTTGGTATTCTCAGATCGAACAACAATGTAGGTATACTGAGTTGTAGAGAGACACACATATACGGACATTCTTTGGTTTCATCAGGCCATCTCGTAAAGCCCAAAAAGGCCATCACCTAATGAATTCGAGAAATGTTGTGGTGTTACTAAGTCCCACATGTTGCCTTGGAATCTGTTTGCCTGTCTTGTGGAGGTTTTCTATTAGGACTTTTTTCAGCCTTTGGTGCTATCTTCTAAAATTAATACAAAAAAATTCATTGAAAACTTGGATAACACTTTGGATAATATTTGGAGAAGGAATTAATTGGTTAGATTTGTAATGGTATCGATGTATCATGGCTTATAGAAAAAAATTATATTTTCTGGGTCTTGAACTGGGACCCCTATATTTTGCTAGGTAAATGTGACACTGGTTCTTTTTCTGGCGGAAATTAGATGAAAATTGTATCGAAATTAAGGGGCAAACCATAATTTCTATTTCTCAAAGAAATACTGTAACATTTGGGACAGATCATTGCAAACAACGTGCCAATCAACATCCCTTCAGTAGTACTCTTGAAATTAGTTCAACAATGCAGGGATTTTTCGAAGCTCCTTGGAATGTATGTCATTTTGACTTGTTCATAACTATGTATGGGAGTTATAATTTCGTTTTGTGTGATGGTTGATGGCATGATGAAATGGATGTGTTTCTCTGGCTTATCGTATCAGGTTACTTTCCATCATGTTCTAAATTTTGTGGGTACGTGTTTCAGCTTAAATTCTTTTCTCGCTTGCTCTCTACTACAGGTATTTTGAAGCTTTCAATTTGTTATCATCATCCTTGTTTTCTTTTTTGGTTTTTGTACTTTCTGACTGATTGGTTCTACCAGTAACATTAAGACATACATTGATTCGTATGTGTATGTGGCTCTAGTAAGGATTTGGTTCTTGTTTTGCTCTTCACTCTTCTCTGGTGCTTTCGTGCGGGGATTTTTTTAATTGTGTTGTCTTTAATGGTTTTAAATTCTTTCTTCCATCCTTTATTAGGCATATAATGATTTTTGGTGCTTGTTTATTTATTCTTTCTAGCCAGTGGCGGAGCCATAATATTAGGAAATTGTGGCCATATTAAAATTAATACATTGCTCCCTTTAACTTTTTGAGAATTGGCATGCTAGGCTTTGTTGAGTTGTACTGAGTAAATGTTAGATGCTCTGGTTAATATATTGACCAAAGACAATATTTCTGTTCTATTCATTATATTGCCCCTACTTTTTAAAAGCAATTATATAGTTGGCTTTGCCTCTTTTTTTTTTTTTTTGAAAAGTTAGAGGCCCACAACCAAATACAACACTCTTAGATGCAAATGGAAAAGTGTTTCTAACACACAAGCATTTTTCGCTCTTCTAAGTAACCAATTTCTCAGCAAGATGGATGATAATTTCGACTAGGCTTCACAATAAAATGAATAATGATTTTGTCATGGACTCTTTAATTGAATGTCTTTGAATTAATATTTTTGAGCAATTTATTTTAAAACTAATAAGTACAAGCAATTTTTGGGAAGTGAAACAATTTCATGTTTGACTATAATATATGATTCGGTTGAAATGCTTGATTCCTCCGAGAATGAAACTTGGCTTCATCCTTGGCTATAGCACTAATTGAACAATTATTGGGTACCTTGTATTTGTACCTGGTATGCTTTTTTTCTTTTTCTTTTTTTTTCTATTTTGTGATACGCACAACATAACTATATGTCAAAATTAAGAAGCACGTACACTTCTTCAACACTCGGATGAGTATCCGATACTCTTTTTTAAATTTAGATGCATCCATGGTAAATAAAAATAAAAATGTAATCTTGGACACGTGCTAGATTTCTTCAGCGACCTGTCCAATACCCCTTAGGCCATGTTTGGGGCTAAAAAGGAAATCTTGTGGTGAACACTTCTTCGACACTAGCTAATATGTGATTGGCAAAGTTTAAGAATTCGATACATGATTATCTTGTGGTTGGGGTGTAGTTTCCTCTCTTCATTCTAACTCGCTACACCCCTCTCTTTCAGCCACCAATATTAAATTCATCAAGACAAAGCCAATTGATTTTTCTCCTATCTTCTAAGCCCTCCAATTGCCATGTTTGCATTTTCTTTGTCCTAATAAAGTTACTTAAGCATTTCGCCTGGTATCCTAGTTAATACTCGTATGACAGATATTGATTCATGCTAAACCTTTTGTGAGTAGTTTCATAGATTATTCTATTTTATTTTTATTTCCAGTTGAGAAATATAATAGCTTTTGACAAATTCTTGGGTATTTTTTGGTTGCTAGAGTTTACCAATTGGAAAAAAAAAAAAGCAACTTAGTGCACAAGGCTCCAGCCATTTTTTATGGAAAACAGATGTCGTCCTAGTTGACAATTTGCATTGATAGAGAGCTTGCTTCTTTATTAGCTATACCCTTTCAGCCTGATATTTTTAGGGTGGATGACATGCTTGCAATTGGTCCTTATCACCACAATAAAGGTAGGCTACAAATGATGCAAGAGCATAAGTTACGGTATTTACAATTGATGCTTAAACGGAGAAATGAGTCAAGTGTAGGTAGATATGTCACAATATTGGAAGAATTAGAAGAAAAAGCACATAAATGTTATGCACTTTCTACTGAGCTCAAGAAAGATGAGTTTGTGCGAATGATGTTGCTTGACGGGTGCTTCAAGATCGAATTATTTCGAAAGTTTTTGAATGAAGAATTGAGAGATGCCAACGATCCTCTTTTTCATTTGACAAGGATCCAGTGCATTTTACATTAAGATTTATTGTTATTTGAAAATCAACTTCCATTTTTTGTCCTCCTTCGATTGTGTGACATGACCAAAGATCCAAACCAACGAGACATTCCAAGCCGAATAGACAACATATTCTACTTAGCCCTCATTTTTTCTGAGAGTTTACCAGATTTGATCTATTTACAACCTTCTGGATTTCCGACATATAATGTCAATCATCTTCTTGGCCTCGTACATGATACATGGTGTTCTTCATTTGCTGTAATGGTGTCTTCCCATGGAAAGTATGCAGACCAAGGAAGGAGATGGGAATTCATAAAATGTACGAAAGAACTGCTAGAGGCTGGATTAAATTTGAGAAGGCTACAGAATATTCCTCCTTGCTGGATATAAAGTTCAAAAATGGGATCTTGAAAATCCTGCCTTGGGTCATTTCTGACGAAACAGAGTCATTGCTTAGAAATCTGATTGCATACAAGCAGTACAATAGAGGAATTGAACCATTTTATTTGACCGGTTATGCCACATTTATTGATTGCCTCATTAACTCCCCGACGGTTGCTGAAAAACTTCGCCACTATGGAATTATTGATAATTGGTTAGGTGATGATAAAGCGGTTTCTACAATGTTCAACAAACAGGGCAATTATGTCACTGTAGATTCTACAACATTTTGTTACTTGAAAGTTTTCAAGAAAATTAATGTGCACTGCAAACGTCATCGGCACATATGGATGGCAAATTTAAGGCATAATTATTTCAACAGCCCGTGGTCTATCATTTCACTTAGCGGTGCTATTTTGTTGCTTCTGCTCACCATGGTCCAGACTATATGTTCTATTCTACAACTCTAACTCATTGTGAGGCTAATTTACTATGTTCACATACGTTGTATTGATCATGCTGTTTTAGATCTCTGATTCCAATTTGATTGACTTGTCCTGTTAAACATAAGTAGTATGTTCAAATAAAGTGTGTTGATTCTTATTATCTTTGAGAGAGAGAGGGAGAAGACAAGCACAACATTGCAACGTATGTGCAGGGACAAGAATGTATGAAGTTAGGTCAAATTTAGTGTATGTAGTCTATGGCACATGGTTGGGTGAAATGTGTGTGATGTTTCTTTAAGTGTAATTCTTTATTGCCATTGTACAACACATTTGAAAGGTGTTCAAGTTTAACCTAAAGCGAAAAATATTAAACTTTAATAGTTTGGTGTGTTACATAAAAAAAGGATTAAAGAACATTACACATATATCAATGTCAACTCAGCAAGTAAACATCTTCACCTTCACAAAAGCTGAGAATATGTGTGAAAATTTTGTGTTGAACAAGCATAGCATCCATAAATGCAAAGGGGGTTTAAGTGTTAAACAAGCTTAGCATACAGAATCTGCCAGCCATACTTAAGAGACAAAGTCAAATATTCACCCGAGTCCCTCCACTTCCACATAAGATTCCAATATATTGTACCCACAAAAAATAATATTTTTTTTGGTAACTGGTAATCGTTCCAATCATGAGTTCTTTAAACTCATAACTATAACAAAAATCTCGAATATACACAAAAATCCATAAATTTTTGTTTCATGTGACGATATATCACACTCCTTGTTCGACCACACATTGATCTGTATGGGTAGCGATGGAACTAGGATTCTATCACGATGGGGGTTGCACCAGAACAAAAGTAAGAATTTTATTCTATTGGATATATTTATACTTATACAAAATTTTTCAAAATTAATTCACATAAAATACCATTATAAAAATTAATTTGAGTAACGAAATTCATAAATCAGTTCTTACCATCATAGAAATGAACTAGTGATAATGTCATGAGCTGCTTATTTGTTCACTATGATACGATGTCATGACTTGACAAAAAATATTTTTATAAGTAATAGTTTTACACAATACGATAATAAAAGTGTTTCATAAGTCAAAACCTTACTTTTTATATAATTCGCCTTTTTACTTTGATTTTGCAAAAAATTCACACTTTTTTTAATAAAAATTTTCTTTAGTCATTATACTTCTCCAATCAGTTATAAGAACGTCACTCATCCATAGATTGCATCATCTATTAGTCTATTAAATATCAATTCATTAGCATTTTGAATACAAGAAGTGGATTGTCTACATATAAAGTTTTTAAGTATCTGAGGGAAATCATAGAGTTTGTAAAATCTATGAGTTGGTACTCCCCTAGGCCCCTTCTTGGGTCCATCTACGGGATATCAAACAAATAGTGTCACTTTCACAAAAAACAACTTACTTTTTTTTTTTTTTCAACAGTCATAGTTGTCCGGGTCAACTTATGTGCACCTCGATTAATCCCCTCTTCGGTCCGATCAAAGGTAAACTATTAACATCAGAACTAGAGTATTTATGAGGGATAAATCCCTCATAACCTGACTTCAATGAGTTACTAAGATTTAAACTCGAGACATCTGAATTTATAGTTTGTCTTTGTTACTATTTAAACTATCTTTTGGGGTTCTAAAGTAACAATACTAGGCTTGTGATAAGTAGTGTTATTGCTTTCACTTTTGTAAAAGAAAGCTTAGGGAGGGCCAGACAAGGATTACGTAATTATAGGAAATGAATCTAATCTACCTATAAATTAATGGCTGCTCACAACTTTCTTTGTCATCAACATTTTTTCAGTCCAAGTAAATCACTTATTTCAGAAGAAAAGCCGACGAACAAAAGAAGGAAGTTGAAAATCAGTAAGTGTTGTGTAATTTTATAAGCACTTGTTTTGATTATCTAAGTATTGTAATATAAGTGTGCATGTTTACTTCCATATACTTGGTGTAGTTTCCTTGTTTAACACAATTCGATATTCTTACTTCTAATGAAAAATATAGTTCACTACTCGTTACATGGAATAAATATTTGTTACAACGATAATATTACGTCGTCATCGGTGACACGTGCTATCATCAACTAATAAAAATATACTATATAAAGATAAGTGAACTCCACTATTCCAACGTGTTAGTTAGTCAAAGTGGTAGTTATTAAGAATTACTAAAATAGTGGAACACCCTGCATACACATGATATATTATCATTAGTTGGTGATACCATGTGTCGCTGATAACGTGTGATAACTGTTGCGAGCAACGTTATTTTTCAAACTTGTATGTAGTAACGTGTCCCAATTAGGAATTGCAAAACGTTTCTGTTTCCTTTTCAGCCATAAAGATATAAAAAAATATGATCCATTTACTCCTGAAATATTTTAAAATTGCACCTGTGTGGAAAACCAATGAGGTTTTACACTTGAACTGGCAAAAAGAGACTTATTGAAATGATTTTAATAAAATTTAGGGTCAAATTGAAACAACTAAAAGTTTAAGAGTATATTAAAAACGGTATCATAGTTTAAAGGGTCATTTATAATATCCTTCCAATTATTAAAAATGGTGTCTTAGAGTAAGTCTTTTTAATTTGCTTGTTTATTGTTGCAATAGGTGATGCCTATTTTTTTTTTTGTTAGAGGGCAATTACCATGTTACTTGTAAATGTTTGGTTATCAATATACAAGTCCTGCTTATGCCAAAAATGCTCCTACATAAAATTCAAAATATTTAAATGTTCTTTGTTTCCTACAATTATTCAATTTCAAAATTTAAAACATTTTACTCGGTATATAAAACTGTTTAGGAATAATCTCTTTTCCTTTCCAACTATGTACCTACCTCCTTTCTTCCCCCACCATGCTTAAATTATTGAGTAAAAAGCCATTGAATTTTCATCCTAGTTGGTATTTCAATTTTTCATTTAAATCTTCACTCCTCCAAAAGTTCAATCGTTTCTGTAAATTTGAGCATCTTAACCTCAATGTTCTACGAGTGCTTCAGACTTTTAGTGTCTATATCTAAATTAAAAACATTACTTCAAAACTTAAGATATATTTTGATGTGTTGTGGCCTCCTATCCTAAGTTTCGACTTCTTTGTCCACCATGTCCCTTTTGTGCATCCACTTTTTTAAGAAAACAAAGTAAAACATTTCACCTTAAAAAACATTCAACTATTAGCTCATTTCATATAATTAAAACCTTGTTTTATGTGTAATGTTTTGTAGGATGTTTCACTGTTTTTGCACATTTATTTTGGTTTGTGGCACAAGTAAGATATATTATCTTGATAAATGCTTAGATAACTCTTTGCTTTCAAAGGAAAATAGATCGATGTTTCAGCATCGATTAAAAGCTTGCTTCTCTATCATCCCCATCCTTTGACCCTTATATCTTCAAAGTAAATGATCACCTACGAATGGAAAACAAGAAGGCTTACGAACCAGAAATGCTCGCAATTGGTCCTTATCACTGTTGTAAAACTAACCTACAAATGATGGAAAAACACAAACTATGGTACCTAAAAGGGTTGCTTAAACGAAAAAATGAGTCGAGCGATAGATACGCCGTAGAAATGCACGGATTGGAAGAGACTACACGTAACTGTTATGCAGAATCCATTAAACTAAAAAAGGATAAGTTTGTTGAAATGATGTTACTTGACGCGTTGTTTATCATCGAGATATTTCGACAGTTCAGTTATGGACAAGTTGGAGATACACACGACGGTATTTTTGAAAATTTTCAGATTTGGAATGCTATATTGCGTGATTTACTGTTATTTGAAAATCAATTTCTTTTTGATATCCTTGTCAAGTTATTTGACATGGCAAAAGATTCAAACCAACAAAGCGCACCAGACAACATAGTTGACTTAGCCCTCTCCTCTTTAGCTAAATTGGTTCCATAGTTTGGAAATTTTCCTCCTTCCAAGATTCCACCAAATAAAGTGGATCATCTTCTAGGCCTCTTACATGACACCTGGTGTTCCTCATTTGCTGAAATTGTGTTCTCTCCTGGGAATATTTATGCAAGCCAAGCAAGTAAATGGAGGGTCATAAAATGTGCCACAGAGCTTCAAGAAGCTGGGATTAAATTTGAGAAGGCTACAGAAAGTTCCTCTTTGTTTGATATAAAGTTCAAAAATGGAATCATGAGAATTCATCCATTGCAAATAGATGATGATATAGAGTGATTCTTCAGAAACATGGTTGTATACGAGCAATATAAACAAGGAACCAATGGACGTTATGTGACTTTTATAGATTGCCTCCTCGATTCCCCAAAGGATGTCAAAATACTTCGTGATTGTGGAGTTATTGATAACGGCTTGGGTGATGATAGAGCCGTCTCTAACATGTTCATCAAAATGACTAATCGTGTCAACGTATGTGCTGCAAGGTTTTGTTACTCGAAAGTTTTCAATCGTGTTAACGAGTACTGTGGACATCCTTGGCGTACATGGATGGCTAATTTAAAGCACAATTATTTCAACAACCCGTGGTCTATCATTTCAATCATCAGTGCTTTTTTGTTGTTGGTACTCACTGTGATACAAACTATTTATTCTATCTTACATGGCTAGCTTTAAGTCCGATTTGATTTGCATTACATGGGCACGACCCCCACGGTCAATAAATATTATGTTAGAATAAGTTGTACTGATCCTTCTGTCAAGCTGTTTCGCAAATGTTTTGCAGAATTTGTGATCAATTTGAATGTCTTTTAAGCCATTGGTTGGAGCAAACTTTAAGGTTGGTGTTTTATGGAGTTGTAACTTAAAAACAATATATTTAGAATTGAGTTGAGTATGCTATTTAACAGTCAAATGGAAGTTCTGATAATTTTGTATGACTTAGATTTGGTTAGTTGTGCATCCTGTGCTATGAGCAAAAACCACTTATTTTTAACAATAATAGTATTAAGATATAATTTATTAACCTAATAATCGAGCACAATCATTTGATAGGTACTGAGTTCCAATCAACAGTAGAATTCACAATCAATTCAATAGTACTAATTGATTAGGTCAGCAAAGTAACTCAGTAATTTATGTCGAAATAACATTACCTGGCCCACTAGCATTTCTCAGTGGTGGGCCACACATATTATTATCTATCATGATGTATCTCGATCCTCTTAATTTTGTCAATTTGACCAATTTCAATCATGCCCTTTTAAGTTCGGTGGATCCTAAAAATAGCCTCTATACTTGTCCCGTGAAAGGACCTAAAATGAATCAACATGGATTGTTGAACCAATTCAAATTGGAAAACATTTAGTGTTAAGGGAACCGCTTTTTTTTTTTGGTCAATGAACATGGGTCTTGATTCTCAAAATTTTGGTCAAGTTAAATAATGTGTTCTTTTACAATGCTTTTAAATGCCATACGAGTCTAGCCTAAATGGGATGTTGCGAAAATGAAATTAAAGAATTCTATGCGTATACCCATGTCAACTCTGTAGATCCAACACGTAGTAAACATCTTCACTCTCACAAAAGGTAAGATATTGCACGAGGGAATTTATTGCTAAAAAAATCTTCATGTGAGCTCCTCCTCTTCCACATTAGATTCCAAAACAATTTTTCATATGAAAAACATATCTTCACTTTCACAAAAGCAACATATTTGGCTTTGTGATAGTTACTAGGCTTACTTACACTTTCGGAAAGTGTGCATTTTTTTTCAAAAAGTAAATAAAGTTAAGTGCATATTTGTTTCCATACAACATGGGAGGTATGAGTTCGACTATTGCAATTTCCATGATTGATGTAATTTGATACTCTTACATCTAAGGAATGAGAAATTTTGAAGTGTTAATGGCATTTGCCAATTAAAAGATCAAAAAAAGAAATTCTTTGCTCCCTCAAAGAGAAATAGACTCGGATCGACTCATTAATTTTGCACAAGTGTAAGTCTAAAAAACTGTTTTTTTTCGTCCTGAAAGATCTAATAATTGTACATTATCCCTTGAAAAATTTAAAAACTGCACTCTACCTCATAAAAAATGGATTGTCTCAGGTTACATGCGTGGTATATTGGACGTTAACAGACGAAAAATGAGATGTCGTTTGCTAATTGGAACAATTGTCTCAGCCATCCACTCGCATCGACAAAAAGCTTGCTTATTTTTCCATGTCCACCCTTTGGCCCTTATATCTTCAAATTAAATGACCAACAACGCTGGGAAAATAAGAATGTCTTTGAACTAAAAAAAAATTACCAGCATTTATATAAACGTCAAGAATAGAAACTCCAGTCACAAGAGAAACACTGACGTTTGATTTTTTGCCGGAATAAATGTCAGATTACATTTACCGGCATTTATAGACTTCGCTGGCATTTATATGGATTTTGCCGGCATTTATAAATGTCGGCTATTCCAAAATTTCTTGCAATATAGTGATAAATATGTCAGCTATTCACCTCAGAATTATTAAATCAATATTAAATGGAACCACCATTCAGTTCGAAATTGATTATCATTATATCTGAGATTAAGTTGGTGCTAGATTGTTTGGGCTTAATCACTGCATTTCCTTTTGGGATATTTGTTTCATGCATCAAATGGGTTATCTCTTCACCAAACCAGGGGTGCCAATTCAGTGCTAGTTATAAAACTCTCGGCCCAAGTTTAATCTGAACCCAAACCCTACTCAAACCATTGTACTCGAGTACTAGTAATGATAATTTTTTTGAATTCGGATTACTTCAATTGTGTTGAAACCCGGGTTTTACAATTTGGACCGTAATTTGAATTAAATTCAGACTCAAGTCAAAGTGAAACTTAAATTTGATTCTTAGGTTACACAACTCGGACAATATTTAGATTCAACTTGGGTTTAACTTTGATTCACTAATTTAAGTTGGGCTTGGGAATCCAATACTCCAACCTAGTGGTGTCTGGAATTAAAATGGTTTGAGTTTTTTATTCCCAAACCTAACTTATGTATTGAAAATTTTGAGTTGGGATTAGATTGAGTTCTGGGTACCCGTATCACCAACCACAAACCAAAACTAGTTCCCTTGGATCAAGTAACTATCACGTCATTAAACCAGTAAATTAGGTCAATTTTTGATGTCTTAATATTATTATTTATTTTTGATTATAATTACAAATAAATAAATCAATCAAAATATTTATCATAATCAAAATATAAGTACGATTAAAATATTTTACTGTAATTAAAATTTAAATATAATTAAAATAATTACATTAATTAAAATGTTTATTGTAGTAAAAAAAAATTATACGATTAAGTGTTAAATCGTAATTATAAATCATATGAGTTGTTGTTGGATCACAATTCTAAGTGATTTAAGTCATTATTACTGTGCTTTTATCTCTTGGAGAAGAATACAGCACCAAAAAAAATTACGGTAACGTGTCTTCAAATTTCATAAGTTTATGAATTTATTTACACCAAAAAAAATGTACAACTTTTTGGATCGTGCAAAAACTTTTAAAGTTAGTGTTATTATTTTTTTTCACCAAGGTATTATTTTTGTGATAATTTATTATCGATCCTTAACATTTTTAGGTTGGATTGCAAGTTATCACAAAAAGTTACAAATGACCTGCAAAAATTTAAACAAAAACACATAAAGTTTATAATGTCAATACGGAAATGAATTTTTTTTTTTTTTGTAATTTATCAACTTAGTTTGCCACTTCAATTGTGTAATTGTAAGATCCCGTATTAGAATTAGATAAGACTAATATCATCTTAAGATTTTTCCTAGGATGAATAAAAAAATTATAGAAACCTCAAATCGTTGTTAAAAGATTTATCATGAAGTTTGAATTTTGGGCAAATTGACTTTCGGGTCAAACTTAGTTTAGAAGGTGTTTAAATTTGAAATTGGTGGCTAAGTAATTTTGTAAATATTTTTAGGTCAAAATAAGGTTTTCAATGAATTCAGAAGGTTGGAAGAGGTTATATGAGATATATATTAGAAATATTCTGAAGTTAAGACCTATTTGTGAGAGGATTTGGGTACAAAAGAATTTGACACTATCTTAGTCATAACTTTTTAATCTGAATTCTGTTTGAGTTGATTTTGGGATAGTAGAAACTAGACTTCAAGAGCTATAAACGTGTATTTCACGAAACTTTCTTGAATCGGCTTGTAAATAGGTCAAAATTGAGCTAGAAGTCGGGGGTATGCTATAAGATGCGTCCGAATGGAAGAAACATGAGTCCGGACGCACCAGGTAGAAGTTGGACAATCTGTGTTGCGATTTTTCTCCACTTTTGGCATTATAAATGTCTAAGGAACAACCCTTAGGCCTATGTTTAGTAATTGTTCATTCAAGAAAACCCTAAAAAGCTGGAGAGAAAGAAAGAGAGGAAGAAAGGGAGGAGACACAGAGAGGATTCTCACTTTGGGATTAATTCAAACACGCTAGGGATATCTTCAAACATTGGATTAAAGGTAGGGGTTTCTTCCTAAAGTTGTTCATTGAGACTTGGATTAATATATGTTTTGATTCTAAATCATATGTATATATTATGAAATCATTATTTCTTGCAAATCGTATTATGTCTTGAATGAGGTTGTTGTTTGATAGCCACAAAACTCTCTTTCTTGATATCAAAACCCTAGTTTTCAAGAAATATAGAATTTACCCTTGATGTTCCAATGTTCTTGATTTAAAAACTCTAGTATTTTGTTGGAACAATAATATTATATTTCTTGATGATCTCTTGCATATTTTCTTAAGTTGTTCTGTTGAAAAAATACATGTGGAATTATGGTTCTTAGTTTACCTGTGATTTAGTGAATTAGTTTAGTATTATATCTCTTGTGTATATGTTTTGATGAACATGGGTGACTGTTGACTGGGTATCGTAGAATAGGTAGATGTGTTTCTTACTCTAAGTGGGTTTGAAGGTTTCATACCACTCGTAGTAGGGTTGGTGTCTTGTGAGGACTAAATCGATATTCGCTCACAAGTATCGAGGCTAAGGGTTAGTATACTATTCCTAGGTTAGATTCGTCACTGTCGATGCGTCAGTATACGTCCTTTCTAAAGTTGTGTATTTTTACGAGGATTGGGTGTGTGGGTGTGGATCAAGATATTCTCAATGTGTGTATTCATACTAAGTCTTACTACATAACTGAGATACAACGTTTGTAATAGTTTGTTATCTGAAAGTTAAGTTGGTTTTGCTTCTTCATTTAATTTATTG